TCCTATACTCACCAACGTAAAAGAAGTGTATGTCTCTCCATTTTACATTTTATCCAGTCCCAGAGATTTTCCCCGCTTTGCTTTCTCCCACCACTTAATCTACAATGAATGGATTTCATGTAACCCTCCTCCTTTGATTCTAGTGTACAAAATAAGTTGCATAATGGCCATTTTCCAGAGCATTTTCTCAATGTGTTGAGAGTGCTTCCCAGCAATTGTCGTCAGTTTGGCTCAAATAAACTCTTATCAGCTTTCTCTTAGGCTGGATGTTTTTTCGTTGACATTACTTGGCATAGTCAGCAGGATTCCAAAGAAGCCCACCCAGGACCACCCTGCAGACTGGATTTGGTACTAGGTACCAGCAGGGGCCCATTGTGCCCCATCGGCTCCTTGCTTCGCAGCTGGTGAACTTGGGTGAGTTTTTCTTGGAATTTTGGGCCTCCCTGTTTTAAAGTAGGGGGCCATGCCTTCCCCTAACCCTTTCTAGGACCCTGATGACTTTGCAAAGGAATTTGAATTAAGTGTTAGAACGAACTTATGATCCTGGCTTTTCTGATTTATCCCAATTAATGCACCTACTGGTTTCTGCAGGCAAAGCAACAGAATTACTAAATAAGTTTTGCCAGGGAAACTCCTGCAGCGGAATCTGCTTTTACCATAAAAAGTCAAGTCACCTTAAGGATTGCAGAAAACTGAAATGGGATTTAGAAAAAGAAACAGAAGCAATCATAGTAGGGCTGCTCCAAGGACTATGAGGGCATTTCCCCTTCTTACTAACACTGGGGCTACTTTATCTGTTAACACCACCTGACTTAGTTGCCCTCCTCCTTGGAGTAAAGCTTCTGCACAATGGTGGGGGTATCTAATCAACCGATATTTGTTTTTAGATCAGAACCTGTTCCCTTCCAATTAGGAAATGTTAAGGAGCAACATATGTTTTTACTAGTCAAATCTGCCCCAACTCACCTGACTTTCTAACCAATGATGCTCACATATCCTTCTCCCAGAAGGGTGAAATGTACTTAGTTAGAACTAAGTAAATGAGGTTGAGAAAATATTGATTTTAAAAGAAAGTACATGAGCGAAAACTCGTCTTAAGACTGACTGAATGTTTGTTGCAGGATATTCCAATGCAACTTTAGGCTTTTTCCAGTACAGATATTGGCAAGATTAAGTCAGCCACTCCTATTTAAATAACTATTGATAATACTTTGCCTCTACGTTATATTTGCCAATATCCTTTGAGGCCTGATACACTAGCTGGACTTCGCTCATTATAGAAGATTTCCTTTAAAAGGGGAGCATTTTCTCAATCTGTTGAGACTTTGCTTCCCAGCAATTGTTGTCAGTTTGGCTCAAATAAACTCTTATAAGCTGTCTCTTAGACTGGATGTTTTTTTTATCGACAACTGCTTTATTCTGTGGTGGAATCTTGCCCTTCCCTGGCTGAGAATTTTGCCGGTGATTCAGTCCCATATCAGAGTTACATTCAAATCTCTGGAACTTGACTTGGTGTCGTATGGGAGCCCTGGATCAGGCCCCTCCAGACTGGAGGCCTCAATGGGGAGAAGGTCCCTATGCCACTGACCTTCATGTCCACGTTGCCCCCTCTCACCAGCCTTTGGGTCCCTGCTGCCCAGGTGCAGGGAGGAGGGGACAGGAGACAGGGAGGACAGTTTCTCCTTAGCTGATGGCTTTGCCCTCTTTGGATGACGCAGTAGTGTTAAAGTGGCGCCCCTTGGTGGATTTGGTGGGTATATGTTTGGGGGAGCTCTGAGACTTCCTTTTTATCCAAGACTCCTTTGCTGGGGTGGTGCATCTTTAAGCTAGGTTTCGCTCTTTCTTCAGCCCCTGGGATCTGGTCCTATCCTCTTGTACCTCCCAGGGGGCCTCCAGGTCGACCACCAATAAGCAGACCCCTGGCTCCACCATCAGAGTCGCCTGCCCCTCACTCTCTGGCTTTTCTGGGAGTCAGATCCCAACCCCATCTGCTCACTAAAGTCTTCCCTAGCCTGAGTCAGCATGGGAGGCCTTTACAAAGGACACTTTTCAAAGGCAGCGAAGTCCCCTCCCTCTCTGGGTTAGCCCCTGTCCCAAAAGGGTGGGATGGGGACTTGCAGGTAGCAACAATTCCCCCTGAAGAAATGTGTTCACCCATCTCTTTAAAAAAACAAAGGCATTTTATTATAGAGAATTTCAAACACAGGCAACAGCAGAGGGCATATGATAAAGCCACATGTGACAGCTTCCACAGTTCTCATGGCCAGTCTTGTTCTTCCTCTCTCCCCTTACATATATCCTGTCGTGGGTTCAACTGTTTCTTCTTCCTGCAAAAAAAGAAACCTCAACCCTCAGTATTTTTGTATGTACACTTATTTGGAAATAAGGTCTCCGCAGATGATCAAGTTAAGATGAGGTCATTAGGGTGGGCCTTAACCCAACATGACTGGTGTCCTTATAAAAAGAAGAAATTTGGACACACAGCATACCACGTGAGAGGCAGAGATTGAAGTAAGGCTGCCAGAAGCCAGGGATCACCAGACATTGCCAGCAAACTGCCAGAAGCTGGGAGAGAGGCCTGGGACAGATTCTCCAACACAGCCTCAGGAGCCAGTCCTGCTGACACCAGCTTGGACTTTTCTGGCTTCCAGCACTGTGAGCTGATACATTTCTGTTGTATCAGAAATGGTACAAGGTTGCCCCTTGAGGAGAGGTGCTGGCGGTGCCCAGCACTGGGGTGAAAGCCCGACTTGCCAGATAGAATTATTCACAACATGGCAATGAGCTTTTCTGTTTCTCCTCTGTGATTAAAAAATAAAATTTATCTTACCCCGCCCCCAGTCTGTGGTATTTTGTTATGGCAGCTTGAGCACACACTCCCTCACCCCCAATTATTTAAAAGCCCATTATGGACGTTGGATTTTTGTTTTTTTTGAAGATTTTATTGGGGAACTGGGGGAGGGAACAGTGTTGGGGAATCAGGGAAGGACAGACAAGTTGCTGTCCTTTTGTTCTTCAGTCTAGTTGTGGAGGACGTCGCTTCACTGGCCCATGTTGGTATTATCATTGTGCTCTTCCTGGGTGAGGCAGATCGGTCACTGGCCATTGGACAGCCACTCACGGCGGCTCACGGCAGCTTAGCGGTGGCTGCCGGCCACTCATGGTAGCTTACAGGCAGCCCACTGCAGCCCACTGTAGCCTACGCCATTGCCAGCGACACACGACAGCCCAGCTCCAGGTTGAGTTGTTGTTCACCATCTTAGCTGTAGAGGGCACAGTGTCACTGGCCCATGTGGGATCTGAACTGGTGGCCCTGCTGCTTAGAGCTCGTGCTCCCAAGCCAACTCTTAACCAATGAGCCACTTGGCCGGCGCTGGATTTTTTTTTTTAATTATTTTTTTTTATGCTTTTCTCCATCCTGATCTGGCTGAGGCATTCCAGCATGGGGCAACAGGTTCTGGCCTATTTTTTGAAAACCCACACATGCGCAGGGGTTGGTCTCACCGGTTCTGATGGCTGTGATGTAGACAACTGAGCCACATTATTCCTAGTTACAACTATCTAGACTAGGCTGGGCATTGTCAGGACAACAGCTGGGTCTTACTTTAGGCTTCCATGCCCCATGGGGCTGGCCAGAGGCACAGGGAGAGGCAGGTTAACAGTTTGGCTGAAATTCACACAGCATTTCTTGCCCAGCCTCTGCACTTTCTTACTGCTGGCTCCAAATGGCTTTTTCTTTTTCTTTCTTTTCTTTTTCTTCCTTCCTTCCTTCCTTTTTCTTTTTTTAAAAGATTTTATTGGGGAATTAGGGAAGGGGAACAGTGTTGGGGAATTAGGGAAGGGGAACAGCCAAGTTGTTGTCCTTCAATCTTAGTTGTGGAGGGCACAGCTAGCTCAGCTCCAAGTCCAGTCGCCATCCAGCCAGCTGTCGGCAGCTCAGCTCAAGGTGCTGTGTTCAATCTTAGTTGTGGGTGGGCACAGCCCACCATCCCATGCGGGAGTCAACTGGAAACCTTGTTGTTAGGAGCATGTGCTCTCACCAGCTGAGCCATCCTGCCATCTGTTGGCAGCTCAGTGGCAGATCAGCTCGGGCGCAGCTCACTGGCCCATGTGGGAATCAAACTGGCGACCCTGTTGCTCAGAGCTTGCGCTCTTAACCAACTGAACCACTAGGCCGGCCCCGGGTTTTCTTTTTTACATAGTCAAACCTGGTACTTTAAGAATCAAAGTTTATTTTCATTGAGGATTTTCAAAGAATGTCTTGGGAGCTCTGAAGGCACTCCCAAGAGAGGCATTTCAGATGTTTGCAGCAAGGCACAGCCCAGCTGGTGGGTAGTCACTGCGGCCACCTGGCCTAGCCAGGCCAGCACACATAGATGGCAGTTCTGGCCGATTTTAAAGAAATCAGCCACATTATTTTATAGTTTGTGCTGTGACTATTAAAAAAAATTAACTGGGAGGGCTGGCTGAATGGCTTGTTGGTTAAGAGTTGGCTTGGCAGCGTGAACTCTGAGCAGCAGGGCAACCAGTTCGGATCCCACATGGGCCAGTGACGCTACGCCCTCTACAGCTAAGATGGTGAACAACAGCTCAACCTGGAGCTGGGCTGCCGTTGAGTCGCCGGTGATGGCATAGGCTGCAGTGGGCTGCCATAAGCTACTGTGAGTGGCCAGCAGCCAGTGTGAGTAGCTGGCAGCCAGTGTGAGTAGCTGGCAGCCAGCGTGAGCTGCTGAGTCGCGGTGAGCAGCCGTCCAATGGCCAGCGACCGATCTGCCTCAGCTGGGAAGAGCGCGATGGTCAAAATACCAACATGGGCCAGTGAAGCAACGTCCTCCACAGCTAGACTGAAGAACAAAAGGACAGCAACTTGTCTGTTCCCCTTCTCTGATTTCCCAACACTGTTCCCTCCCCCAATTCCCCAATAAAAATCTTAAAAAAAAAAAATTAACTGGCAGAGGGGAGGCAAACGATATCAGCAGACTCAAGAATTAAGGTACTGGTTGGTATTTTAAAAAATGTTTATTCACTCATTTATTGACCACATTGATTCTGACTGTGCTCAGTGGAAATCGTTGTGATGAAAGCTCAGGTTTGCATATGGCACCTACTTGTGAAATCAAGCCTGCACATCAGACTGAAAGACTGTAACCAATGGGACCACAGAACCTGTCAGGGATGCAGGTAGATGATGACATGCCCAGGAGCCGGGAGGTGCCAGGAGCAGGTTCCTAGGGATGTGCTGCGCCCACGCTCCTCTGCGAGCTCCTGGAGCCTGCCTCAACCCCAAGGAAGCTGATGCTGGGTCATTTTTATAAACAGCACTAAGGTCGCCCCTTGAGAAGAGATGCTGGTGGTGCCCAGCACTGGGGAGAAAGCCTGACCTGCCAGTTAGAATTATTCACAACATGGCAATGAGCTTTTCTGTTTCTCCTCTGTGACTAAACAGGGAAGAGAGAATTGGGACAGGAGCTCGGTCAGGGTCTCTGCTGAGTTGCCCCTTCCCAGTCATGACGCCTGCCAGGCCACTCTTCGTGGGCTCAGCCTCCTACTGCTACGAGGGGGTCTGGGCAGTGCTCCTCTTGCAGGGTGGGTGCAAGGTCCCCAAACCCACCGGGGGCTTGGCCTGGCTCAGAGCAGGCACCTGGCATGGAGAGCAGTGCAGAAAGGAGGGCAGCTGATGGGCCTGGGGCGGGGAAGGTTGGGGGCTCAGGGGAAGTCACAGTAGGGCAGATGGAAGGGGTAGAGGGGTGTATAGCGTGAGTCGTGCCAGAGCAGCTTCTTCTCCAGGAAGGCGACAGCCTGCAGGGTGAGGATCAGCGTCTGGTGCTTCAGCATGCTGTGCACATTCAGGCCTACGGGGCAGGGTGGGGGCATGTAGTCAGTGGGGCTGCACCCCACATCGGCAGCCTCTTTCCCTCTTCCGGGAAGCACTCCCTCTTACAGAGACACCATCGTCTGGTGTGGGGTCATTAGCCCTGTGGCCTGGGTTCAAACCCTGCCTCAACAGCTCACTGCCCGGGAGACCCCAGGCGAGGGACTGTCCTCAGCCTGGTCACTTCTGACTGACAGCCTCCCGCGCACGCTGTGCACTCTGCCTTCTGCTCAGGCGTGATTCCCACCTCACACTCCAGTAGGTGGGTACAGACCGCAGATAGAAGAGATGAATAAACACAATGTACTGAGGTGGGGCCAGTGTGGCTGCTGTTAGTGAGCAAGGTAGGGAGAGGGAGGAGGAGAGGGTAAGGAGGGGACAGGGCAGGTCGTGTAGGATCTAGTGGGCCTCAGGGGGGACTTGGGCTTTTCCCCAGTGTGGTGAGAGCCATGGAAAGTTGTGGGCAGAGGCATGCACACCAAGTTGTGCTCACAGGCACCCTCTGACCGCCGTCGGGGGAACAGACTCTGGGGATAAGGGCAGAGGCAGCTGTGCTGGTCCAGGCAGGAAGTGAAGGGGGCTGGCCCAGGGTGGTAAGAGGTGGTTGGATTCTGGATATGCTTAAAGACAGAGCCAATTGGGTGAGACTGGGTGAGCTGACCAAGGAGCGGAGGTTGATGGCATGGTATGTGGCCTGAGCCACTGGAAGGAAGGAGGTACTGAGATGCCTATGAGAACCCCACGTACGGCTGTCCAGGAGGCAGCTGGACATACAGTGAGGAGACAGGAGAGGAGAGAGCTCTGGGGATCAGTTAACGTGAAGATGGGTGTGACATGCCCCGGACAGATCTGATCTTGTCTCTCCACCTCTCTGAGTGAGGAGCCAGGCAGGGACAAGCCAGTGGGCCCTCACACTCACTCCTTCCCAGCACTGGGACCAGAGCTTGGACAGATGCAATCTCAGAGGGTTTAAGAAAGTTATCATTCTTTCGATACTCTGTTTAGACCACTTGAGGGTTGGGAAGGTTGGTCACTGCCCAAGGCCAGTGACTGAGAGGCAGATACAGAATTTGAACTGGTCCATGCACTCCCTAGGGACCCAGGGGTGGACCAGCACCCTTCACTCACCAACAGCTGGGATCAGGTTGAAGGTCTTGAGCCCGGAGGTGGCTGCCACGATGTTCTGAGGCATGTCCTCATGTGCTCTGAAATGAAGGCCGGGAGGTGAGCCCTGCAGGGGATGGAGCTCAGCCCCTCCCCCCATCTGCCCTACACCCTCACAAGTCCACCAGGAGCACGGAGTCCCCCCAGTGGCGGTAGCGGGCCAGCTCTGTCAGGTACTGGGGGTCCTCAGTCGGCAGCTCCAGGGAGTCCATGATGTGCAGGTTATCCTGGTGGGAGGACAGGACAGATGGTCTGAGTCTCCCCTCCCGCACAGCTCCCAGCCCTTAGCCCACACCCCAGGAACCTAGTGGCTCCCAGTGGGATGGGGGCTCTACCTGGGCCAGCTTGACCGTCAGCGCCACCTTGAGGCCCTGCACCCGCACTTTCATGGGCAGCATGTAGTAGTAGCTCGTGGGGCCCCGGGGGCCATGGGCAATGCCTCCTGTGGGGACAGAGGCGAGTGAACAGGTGAGGGCCCCAGCTGGGCTTGGAGGTCAGAAATTTGCCTCAGTGGCTGGTGTGGGGGTTGAGGGTGGGGAGGCTGCTAGCAGCCAGGCTGAACTCCAGCAAAGAGGGCAGGGCTTCAGGTAGGGCTGTAGAAGGGAGGCTGGATTGGGCATCACCTGGCACAGGTGACTTCGCCTTGCTGGGTCTCCATTTCCTCAGCCATCAAACCATGAGTGATGACTGTCTACTTATGTGTCCAGCCTCTCCTAGGCCCTGGAAGTGCAGCAGGGAACAAGATAGACAGGATCCCTGCCTCATGCTGTTCATATTCAGACAGAGGCTTGAATGCAGAGGGAATCAGGACTGGGTAAGACAGCACAGGGATTGTGGAGGGCGGAGGACCCAAAGGAGGTCAGGGAGGGCTTCTTGGAGGAGGTGTAGCCCAAACATATCACAAAAATGACAGGAGTTGGCCAGACAAATGGGAGTCAGTGCTATCTGGTCACAGAGGGTATGAAGAGGACAAGGAGGAGGTGTCTGCAACCACGAGTGCCCGGAATGCCAAGGTAAGAAGCTCAGACTTCATAAAAAAGTTGTGGGAGCTGGGAAGTAGTCTGATGAGAGGCCAAGACCAGAGCTGGTGGGGTGGCGGGTGGGGGAAATGGGGAAAAGTAGACGACTCTCAGATCTCTGCCCGCACATGGGCAGTGAGGTCTATTGCGGCCAGAGTCCTGCTGCCCCTGCCCAGGAAGGCTGATAAGGTAGAGGAAATGGAACCGAGGAGAAGTCACGCCACGTGTGTGAAGGAACACCAGACCCTGTGTTAACTCAGAGCCCCCTCCCTGCCCTGCCCACTTACCTCCTCGCCAGATCGGGGAGCGGATGCTGCCATGTCTTGCGCGTCCACTGCCTTTCTGTGGCCAGGGCTTCCGGCCACCACCCCGCACCTCAGCCCTAGACTTGGTCTTGGCATAGCTCTGCGGGTGCAAAGTGAGGAGGGGGTCAAATTCATGAGGCAGATATCATCGCAGCCAAAAGGCACCTGACCCAAGAATATAGCAGCAACCTGGGTGGACTAGGCCTGCTGCTAGGGAGCCTGACAGGAGGCACAGAGATTGGGGCTCCATCATACAAGCACGGATCATTTTTGGAGGGCAGGAAGGATAAAGAAATCAAGAGTTCCCTCCTCTACTCCAGAATGTCAGACTCAGAAAGTGAGGTGCTGGCACCATCATTGCTCTTTTCCCGGGCGAGGCAGATCAGTCGCCGGCTTCTGGACGGCCGCTCACTGCGGCTGCTGGCTACACATGGTAGCCCATGGCAACCCACTGCAGCAGGAGCTGCAGCCTATGCCATCGCCGGCGACTCATGGCAGCCCAGCTCCAGGTTGAGCTGTTGTTCAGCATCTTAGCTGTAGAGGGCAGTGTCATTGGCCCTCATATTTGGGATCCGAACCGGGGCCCTCTGGCGTCCCAAGCCAGCTCTTAACCAACGCGCCACTCGGCCGGCCCAGCTCAGTATTTTTTGAATGATTTTAATATGGCTGCAACTGAAAGGAAGGTGGGGCATGGGGAAAGACATGGCTAGAATTAGGGGGAGGTGCAGGATGGGGAATCATGAGGGACTTCCAATGCCAGGCTGATGACTTCAATCCTAGAACAACCAGGAGCCAGGGAGGGTGTGGGCAGGGGGAAGGCTCGCTGGACTTCTGAGGTGGGGACATGGAAGGCAAAGAGACCCTGATTGATAATGGCTTCTTCAGTGCTCTTGGCATAAAATCCAAAGTCCTCACCATTGCTCTTGCTGAACTCTATGGCCACATTGGGCTGTTTTTGGTCCCTGCTACAGTGCCTTTGCATGTGCTGTTCCCACTACCTCCACTCCAGCCCCACTACTCCCTTTATCTAGTTAGCACCTACTGCACACCTGAGGTTGAATGCCCCTTTCTGTGGGACAACTTCCCTAATTATACTTTTATTTATAGGTATGACTACTTGATTCACATTCACCTCTCTGACTGGATCGTTTCATGAGGGCAGGGATCTTGCCTGTCTCATCCACTAGCACAATGCCCAGTGCACAGTGGGTGTTCAGAAAATGCCTGGCAAATGAGCCATCAGTGAATAGTTCAGGAGATAGAAGATGGGCCGGAGCCAAGCAATCCAGAGAAGACAGACCAAGCTTCCTCTGCCTCCTTCTCCCCACCTCACCCCACTCAGGACACTCACAATTCTCTTGAAGTTCTTCTGCCAGATAGCAACCTGGTGAAGGATATCCAGCCTGTGGAGGAAGGAGACATGAGAGGTCTGCCTCCAAGTAAAACCCTCCCATGGCCTCCACCCCACTAGGTGAAAACCCAGGCTCCTCCGTTCCACATCCAGGGCCCTGTGTGATGTGCCCCTGCCCCTCTCCGACCCCAGCTAGCTGCACCTCCAGCTCCACTCCATTCCATATATATATATATATTTTTTACCCTTGCTGTTTCCTCTGCCTGAAATGCTCTTTCCCTGGCTGGTTCCATCTCAGCCTACAGGTGTCAGCCCAAACAGTATCTCCCAGAGAAGCCCCCTTGCGCAAGAGCCACCCCTTCCTCCTTCTCACCTTGCTCTTTTCCTACCATTACTTACTCAATGCCACCTTCTTTACGAAGTAGTTTGCCTCTCTAGCTCTGCACTGCCCCATACGGTAGACACTGGCCACATGTGTAGCTACTTAACACCTAAAATGTGGCCAGTGCCACATGCTGAAATGACATATCAGGTTAAATAAAATCTATTATTGGGCCGGCCGAGTGGCGCGATGGTTAAGAACTGGCTTGGGACGCCAGAGGGCCCTGGTTCGGATCCCACATATGAGGGCCAGTGACACTGCCCTCTTCAGCTAAGATGCTGAACAACAGCTCAACCTGGAGCTGGGCTGCCCTGAGTCGCTGGCGACGGCGTAGGCTGCAGCCCCTGTGGCAGTAGGTTGCCATGGGCTACCGTATGTAGCCAGCAGCCGCCATGAGCGGCCGTCCAGAAGCCGGCGACTGATCTGCCTCGCCCGGGAAGAGCGCAATGATGGTGCCAACTTGGGTCAGTGAAGCAACGTCCTTCACAACTAGACTGAAGAACAAAACGAAAGCAATTTGTCTGTTCCCCTTCCCCCAATTCCCCAGCACTGTTCCCTTCCCCCCACTACCCCAATAAAAATCTTTTAAAAATAAATAAATAAATAAAATAAAATAAAATACATTATTGAAATCAATCTCACTTGTATCTATCTTCCTACTTTTTTAAAATGTGCCTACCCGAAGAATTTTAAGTTACACATTTCGTGGCACACATTACGTGCCTACATTGGACATGGCTGGCAGGGTAGTCTGCCAGGGCTTGGCAAACTATGGCTAGTAGTCCAAATATAGTCTGTTGCCTCTTTTTGTGAATGTTTTATTGGAACACAGCCATGCTAATTTATTTACATACTGTCTGTGGCTGCTTTTGCACTACATTGGCAGAGACGAAGAGTTGACACGGAAACATTATCCTCTGCCAAAGCCTAAAATATTTATGATGTGGACCTTTACAGAAAAAGTTTTCTGACCCCTGTAAGCAACATCTGTGCTCATTCGCTACACCTAGACTGGAATCTGCACATAGCAGGTGCTTCAGATATTTAAAAAATAAACAAAATATATTGTTTTTAATTTTTTTTGTCACCCTCTACTACACTGGGGCTCTGTAAAGGCAGGGGCGAAACACACAAATAACAGCAATGAATTAACAGCACTTATTATTTGCCAGACAGTGCACATAAGCGGCATCACACACCTTGGCAAGCAATAACCCAGCCCTGGGAGTTGGACCACATAAGGTTGAGATCCTGGGTCTAAAGCTTACATGCTGTGTGACCTGGGGGCAAATTTCTTAATCTGTGTTCAGTTTTCTTTTTTCACTTTTTTTTTTTTTTTAGCTGAGCCATCCTGCCACCTGTTGGCAGCTCAGCAGCTGCTCAGCTCGGGCCGGGAATCAAACCGCTGTTGCTCAGAGCTCACACTCTTGAGCTAGCTCTTAACCAACTGAGCCACTGGGCCTGCCCTGTGTTCAGTTTTCTTATCTGCAAGATAAGGATAACAGAACTCCTTCTTCCTAGGGTTGTTATGAGATCTTGAGAACTATTGGGTTGTCGGAAAAGTCATGATGCATTTTTGCAACAAAAAACAGAAAAAAATACGTCATGACTTTTCCGACAACCCAATAGTTAACTAAAATGCAAATAGGCTGTGCCAGGCACCGTAGTAAGGATTTCGACACTGTTAGTGAATAGTTTTTGCAAAAATCAATCACAGCAACAATAATCAATATTTCTATGGAACTTATTATGTGCCAGAATTAACTCATTTAATCATCACAGCAACCTCTCAAGGTCTGACAGACTGGAGATAGTAAAGCACATGGGGAGAAGGCAGGGTTTGAACCCAGAGGTTCCGCGTCTTAACCCCTAGAGGATGTTGCCTCTCAGCTCTCAACCTCACACAACTCTACAGCAGGAAAAACCATCATCCCCTTAGACAGGTGGAGAAACATGCTCAAGTCCAGGTCATCCTGCTTCCTAAACCCGCGCTCCTCGTCCCTCTGCCACCCATTTCACCATTGCAGCTCCGCTTCACCTGGGCGCCGTGGAGAAAACGTCAGGGTGCAGCTCAGCAAGACCCACGCGCTCCTGCTGATAGCCTCGCAGGGATTCGACCCAGGCCTGCACCGGACGCCGCTGTGCGGGTACCGGGAGCTCGCATTTCCGCAGCACCGGTGCCTGGGGACCTGAAGCAATTAGGAGGTCAGCGACAAGAGTCAGAACTCCCGGTCGCCGCCCCTCCTGGGGCTACCCCGGCAACCTCACCCGCGCTCGCCAACGGCTCAGGCTTCGCCAGCGCGTTCAGGCCCTGCAATGCAATGGTGGACAAGAGTGAGAGACGACCCTGGACCAACCAACCTTTGTCCTCCAACTCTGCCCTCAGTTCCCGGCCTCACCCGGCAGCCGGTGGGCCGAAGCCAGGCCCGCGCCCCGGCCCAGAGTAGCTGCAGCATTGGCGCGCAGCTCCCCACTCCAAGAGGTCAAGGCTCTCTCTAGACTCGCTCGGCGCCTCGCGATGACGTCACGAACACGATGCTGCCGGCTCGGCTCGGACTCGGGGCCAGTAAGCGGAGCTTGCAAGAGCGATGACAGCGGAGCCCGCCCCAGCGTGCCTCCACCACCATCCCAAGACTAACCCCCAGACCTCAATTTCCACTTCTGGCCTAACGCACCCTCTGAGACACCTGGGAATGCGATCCTACAGCAAGAAGCCCCGAGTGTTAAGCCTGGAAAAGTGGCCTGCCCATGGCTGGGTGGTTCTGGGGCGGAAACCTAAGGGAACATGAGCAATAAGTGTTACGCTTTTGGTGTCAGCCACGCCCTCCCGGTCCCGCTTCCATCTAGCCTACAAGACTCTCCAAGGTGGTTTTTCTCCATCCAATAACGTGATTTTGTTTAAATGCAGGACCTTATCTCCCACAGAACGCTCTCAGGATTGGGCCTGCCGTGCCGTGCCGTGCCTATCCGCGTAAATTCCCCAGTGCAAAACTATGTCCCCCTCAATCCCCTCAGATTAGGTCTGTGTCTCCCTCGCTCTCTAGGCCAGGGTTCTGTCCCCTCTCGGACCTGCCAGGGCTCTCCGAGGACAGAGCAAAGTGGAGAGTCCACAGATCCTGGATTGCCTTTCTTGTTGTCCAGCCCCTCAGCAGAAACCCAAATGCTCATTTTTAAGGTCTTTTCCACGTTCACGGCATGATCTCCAGGGGGCGCCACGCGCCCCTAGCAGCCTTCCTTTGCTGGTCAGGCTTGATCACCTTGAGGTGTGTTCCGTCTGGACAGAGCTGAGGGACCCAGAACGTGGTCTGGAGCCAGCCTCAGTTTTCTCATCTGGAAAATGGGGTGGTTATGAGACTTCGGTGAAATAATGGAGACAAAGCATGCCATGCCTGGTACAAGGTGAAAACATTATTATTATTATTATTATTATTATTATTATTATTAGGTGAGTTTGTCATCAGAGCGAGACAAGAGGCAAGGTAGGGATGGGGGTGACCCCTGGAGGATTCGAATGATATGCTAAAGATCTGGACTTTTTTTTTTTGTATCTGATATATAATATATGGATATTTATAAAAAGTGTTACCAACAATTTCCAATGTATTCCATTGTATATTCCATCCCTGCAAGAATAACTGTGGATGTGTGTTTAAAATTCCACACTCTTTGAAATTTAAAAAGGTTTTTTAATCCTTTATTCTGTAGAATTTTATTTATTCATTTTATGTTTGCATAGATAATTCACACACCTGGTAAAGAAATTTTCAAAAACTACGAAAAGATAACCAAAGTGAAAAATCTGTCTTCTCTAACCTCTGTCCCCTGCACCCCCAAGTTCCCCTCCCTGCCCCTTCCTCCCTCCCCCTCACCACGTTCCCCTCCCAGAAGTCACCACCACAACCAGCTGTGTGTGCCTCCTCTCAGAACCAGTTTATGATTTTACAGGCAGATTTAGAAGTCTGTCCTGTGCCAGAGGTTTGGATTTTATGTGGTGAATGAGGGAACAGCACTTTAGTTGCTTAATTGTTTATTAGGCACCTACTGTGTACTGCTAAAGTAAATACAGCAGATACCCTTGAGATACAGTCCAGTGAAGAAGGCTGAGGGGTCAGAAAGGGGGAGGTCTTCAGAGTCTGTGGGAACCCAGAGGAAGAATTCATAATGGGTGGGAACGAGAGTCTTAGAGTTGGCTTCTCTGAAGCTGTAACCTGAAAGCTAAGGCATGAGGGTCTATCAGGACTTTTTTGAGAGAAGAAAATGTGTTCCAGGCTGAAGGAACAGAAGTCGCAAAGTAGGGAGAGTGTGGCAGGGGCTGGGGTGGCTGGACTTTCCTGACAGCCACATGCTTTATTCATTGACTTATTCATTTATGTTGAACCCACCTCAGGGCCTTTGCAAGAATGTCCCTGCAATAATAACTGTGGATGTGTGTTTAAAATTCCACGCTGTTTTTCCTTTAGCCTGGAACATACTTTTCCCAGAGCTCCACATGACTCAATCCCTCCTCAATTCTTTGCTCAAACATCATCTCCTCCAAAAAGCCTGTCCTGACCATCCTATTTAAAATTGCATTCCTCACCCCTGGCCCTTTTGACTCTCTTTTCCTGCCTTTTTTTTTTTGCCATCAGTATTTATCTTCTTAGATCCTATATAATTTCCCATTTTTAAATGTTTTTTGTCTTTCTCCTCCATTAGAGTGTAAACTTCTCCAGGGCAGAAATTTTGCTCTGATTTGTCCCCTGCTGTAGTCCCTGTAGTCCCAGCACCCAGCCTAGTGCCTGTAACACAATAGGGGCTAAATATGTGTTTCTTGAGTCATTTTCTTCACTCATCACTCTGTTCTTGGGGTAGTACCAGAAGCAGAGAAAGCCCTCCCTTTGTCTTCTGGGTCTTAAGATCTCTATCCTCCCTGAAGTCACTTGCACATAAGGTACCCAAGAAATGATTATTTACCCAATGGTGCTGGAGTCACATAGACACAGGTTCGAATCCAGAGGATGCTGATAATTGACTGCGTGTCCCCGGGCAAGTGGTTAGCCCTCAGAATTTGGTCTCCTAATCATTAAGGGGGACACACACAAACCCTCCCCTACTGAGCTGTGTAGTAGATCAGAGTTCTCTTTCCTTTCATCCTCACTCCCCACAGTCCTCTTTCTCCCATAGAGGGAGCTTATAAACAGGAGTTAGATCACATCCCTCATCTGCTCAGAACCCTCAGTGCCTCCCATTTCATTTAGAGCAAAAGCCAGGGTCTTCACTGCAGCTCGGAAGTCCTGCAGCTCAGCTGTCCTCACCTCCTGCTACTTGTCACTCTTCGGTTTCAGCCACAGTATACTTCTCACCAGACCTGTCAATCCCATGCCAGCCTCAGGGCCTTTGCACCTGTTATTCTTTCTGCCTGGAGCACTCACCCCTGAATATCTGCATGGCTCACTACCTGACCTCCTTCAGGTCTTTGCTCAAATGTGACCTCAGGAGACACTGGGTCTAAAATCACTGTTCTCTTCATTTTCCTAATCTGCCTTCCTGGTGTCATTTGTTTCCAGAACTTTCACCACATTCTAACAGATGACATCATGTTCTTATTTTCCTGATGCTTATCTGTCTCCCTCACTAAAAAGTCAGTTTCTGGATGATAGTGTTCTTTGTTTCTTTTGCCGCTGGCCCCCATTGCTAAGGGTCCCAGTAGGTTCTCCATACATAGTAATTGAACAAAGGCAATGTAGAGAAAGTACTTTTCACAGAGCTCCCCTTCTCCCGGCATACTGATTATGAACTTTAAGAAAGGGAGGGCCGGCCGAGTGGCTCAGTTGGTTAAGAGCTCGCTCAAGAGTGTGAGCTCTGGGCAACAGCGGTTCAAGTCCCAGCCCAAGCTGAGCAGCCGCTGAGCTATCAACAGGTGGCAGGATGGCTCAGCTAAAAAAATAATAATAATAAAAAATAAAAAATAAAATGATTAAAAAAAAAAGGGAGGTAATGACCTCAAGACCTGCATACTGCAAAGCTCAAAGTTGACCATTTTGGCCCATGCCTAGGTGAAGGTCAAAGGTTGAAGTGCCCAGCCCACTCCTTAGATCAACTGCAGGTGACCTCTGTCCCAGTGGCATGGGGCCAGCATCAGCCTTTGGGCCCAGAGAGGCTCTCTGCTGACCACAGGCATGACAGCAATTTAGGGAACACAATTTAGAGGGCTCCCAACATCTAACCTTTCCTAGCCCCACCGCCATCACTGTGCAAGTGTTTTCACAAAGGCCAGAGGTCAAGGCTGGAATACTGGGGACAGCCCTCAGATAGGAGGAGCCAAGTGTGGGTGCAGTCTTGATGGAGGGGGGCTCTGACCTGTCTAAACTGACCCCTATCAACTGCCAAAATATCTGCTGTGTGTTTGCAGCTCAATTTGTGGGTAACTGCCAAGCAGGGGAGGAGAAGTCATCTCCCATTGAGGCACCCCTCCCCTCAGCCCTTAGGGATGGGTCTGATTTGCATAGCCGTTTCCATTCCCTTTTAGTTCTCTTTGGTTCAGCCACACTGGGGGTTTGGAACAAAAATAGGCACAGAACCAGCCCTCCAGCCAGGTCTTGGCAGAGATTCAGACCCTCCTCCTCAGGGCTTGAACCACTGGGCAAGGCACATGGGTTCACTGGGCCTCAGTTTCCTCCTCTGCAAAATGGGGTATAATTGCCCCTAACTCACATGGTTTTTGCTCGGCTTAAGTCTGTGTGTCCTCAGATCAGCCATTCCCTGCCCTGCTCTTGCCCCATGGCTACGGGCTGACCCCTGCACACATCTCCCTTGTCCACTGGTTTCTGCCCACATTCCGTCAATGGCACGCCAAGGGTAGATTGGAAGGCAGGAGGATAGAAGTCAGGGTATTTCTTCCCAACTGCTCCTAGTACCATCTCCCACTGGACACAGCCTCCCTACATGCTAATAATTTCTAAATTAAATCCCCCTCTATTTTTATTTTCCTGACGTGAGATAGCTGTGAGGGATTTTGTTTTTTTGTTTGTTTTTTGTTTTAAGATACAATAAAGTCTTCTCTTTTCAGTGTATAGTTCCGCAAGTTTCTACAAACATATATAGTTACATAACCACCACCACAATCAAGATATAAAACGGTTCCATCACCAAAAAATTCCCCCAATCTCTTCTGTAGTCAAATCCATCCCCAACTCCAGGCCCTGCCAACCACTGGTCTGTTCACTGTCCTTATATTTTGGCCTTTTCTAGAACGTCATAGAAATGAAATAATACACCATGTAGCCTTCTTTCCTCGTTATAATGCATTTGATATTCATCTGTGTTGTTATTATCTCTAGTCCCTTCCTTTTGGAAGTAGTAGTTCCAAATAGATTCCTGAGTGGTCTTCGTGTAAGAATGGACTGCAGTTTGTCTATTCATTCTTAGGTCAAGGCAGCTGCTATGAGCTTCACATGAGTTGATATTTGCAAAGCTTTTAGGACATTAACTGGCACAGCATATACGTGTCAGCTGTTTCTATTATGCTGGATCGGGGAACTTGCTGAGAAGTGGGCCTCTGGTCTTCCCCTCTTCTCTAACTGTGCATACCTCTCTTGTCTGGAACAGAGAGCCCACCCTTCCCAGGCTGGAAGGGCCAAGACCCATATGGTGCAGACGTGGCAGGGGCTGGCCTTTACTAGGAGCCTCCCCAGACCATCACTGAAGCTGAAAGTGGGCCCCACGCCCATGGATGGAGGAGACAAGGCTGCTGCAGCTCCACGGCCTGCCAAGATTAGCATCTGGAAAGCTTCTTTGCAGCTGGGGCCCCTTCTCCCAGTGCTGGGGTGATGATCAGAAAGTTGGGACCTGCCTCAAACACTTATTTTTATGCAGTTTCTCCTACCAAAAGCCAAGAGCTAGTGGGTGGGGGGAAAGTGGAGGCCCAGGGAGAATGAAGGATAGGCCTGGGTCTCATTGATTTGGGGGAGTTCACGAAATTTGGGGTGGGGTAGAATCAGAGATCAGAAGGTTCCCCTTACCTGGATTACAGAGAATGTTCCACACCTCACCAATGACCCATGTAGTCCTGAGCGGTAACCATCACCATTATGTCCTGACCCGCTGGGTCAGGGAAGGGGGTCACTGCATCAGGACTGGGTTGAGGACTGGGGATGAACAAGTTCAAATACCCACACTACTGTGTGTCTCAGTTTCTTCATCTTTAAAATAGGATGGTGAGAAAAGGCAAAACTGTGGAGACAGTAAAAAGATCAGGGGTTGACAGGGATTCAGGGGGAGAAAGGAATGAATAGGTGGGGCACAGAGGATTTTTGGTGCAGTGAAACTACTCTGTATGAGATTATAATGGTGGATACATGTCATTCTACAGTTGTCCAAACCCGCAGAAGTACAACACCAACAGTGAACTGCAATGACTATGGACTTGGGGTGACGATGATTAGTCAATGTAGGGTTCATCAATTATAACAAAAGCACCTCTCTGATGCTATGTTGATAGTGGGGGAGGTTATACCTGTGTGAGCGCAGTGGGTATATGGGAAATCACTGTACTTTCTGCTCAGTTTTGCTGTGAACTTAAAACTGTCCTAAAAACAAAGTCTATTTAAAACAATGGGATGATGATAATAATATTCCCCACCTCCTAGGGTTGTGAGGATTTGTAGAGCTGCACCCAGAATAGTCTGAATCGTGTGAGCATTAGCCATTATTGTCAGTAGCCCTATAATTAGTGAAGGCTAGTCTGAGCCTCTTGTCTTCTCTATTTCCTCTTCCTGGGAGCTCCCCAAGAGAAGGGCCCTGTTTCCTCTTCTTCCACTGTTTTATCACTCGGGGTTCCCCCTAGAGTAGGGCTCAGCTTTCCCCTTGACACCCCCAGATTATCAGGAAGTCTAGACCTCCAGTATTTTCCAGTTCTCCAGTCCATTCCCTCAGCTGACCTGGCAGAGACTTCATGTTGCCCCAGAAGTTGGGGGGAGGAGGTTGAGGAGAGGGGTGGAAGTTGCTTGTGGGTTTATCTGTGTGTCTCTGAGGCTATCACCTTTTGTCTAGGACCCAGGGTCCCCCACCGGATATGTCTGTGGCCTTGCATTTACACCCAACCCCTGGTCCCTGGGGGGATGGCAAACTGCTGAGCCAGCCCAGGCAAGTTGGGGGGGGCACTTCCTCCCCAGCCTTCAGGTCTCCACAGAAGGCTGAGATTTCCGCTTGATAGCAAGGAGCGAAGACGCATTTTTTTCTGTGCCTTGTCCCCTGTGAGTTGAACACCTGGTTTCAAGAGGTTACACAGGCAACACACTTCACTTGGCAGAAGATTCAGTGAGATTTTGCCAAGGTTCGAGTGTACCCCAGGAGCTGGCCTGGAACTGAATGGACACTGAAATCTGGCTCTGAAAAAGGAGGAAAGTCGCTGTCTCACTTTTTTTATCTCTGCATCAAAGCCCTGGTGTTTTATGTTAGAACTCTCAGTTTCTTCACTGTGTCCTCCATCAGACTGTCTGCTTTGCATGGCAGAAACCAACAGAGCATCACTAGAGTCAGCACAGAGCATTATATGTTGTGCATTATATGAATATATATGCTGCATACATACATTTAGCATTAATCTATTGATTTTAATATACATTTCTTTATTAATAATGTAAAGAAGTTTATTCTTTTTTTTAAGATTTTTATTGGGGAATTGGGGGGATGGGAACAGCGCTGGGGAATTGGGGGAAGGGGAACAGACAAGTTGCTGTCCTTTTGTTCTTCAAGTCTAGTTGTAGAGGACGTTGCTTCACTGGCCCAAGTTGGCACCATCATTGCACTCTTCCTGGGTGAGGCAGATCAGTCGCCGGCTTCTGGACGGCCGCTCACACTGGCTTCTGGCTGGCTATACACGGTAGCCCATGGCAATCCACTGCAGCAGGGGCTGCAGCCTACGCCGTCGCCGGTGACTCACCGCAGCCCAGATCCAGGTCAAGCTGTTGTTCAGCATCTTAGCTGCAGAAGGCAGTGTCACTGGCCCTCATAAGTGGGATCCGAACCGGGGCCCTCTGGCGTCCCAAGCCAGCTCTTAACCATCGCGCCACTCGGCCGGCCCAGATGTTTATTCTTAATATAAATATAAATTTGTTAATATTGATATGTTGAATAATAATATTAATATCTTTATTAACAATGTTATTGTTTATTTATATTATTGATATTACTGATTACTATTATTACGGAAACAATTCTACAAGTAGAAGTCTGGTGACTTGTTGCCTTTTATTTCATTTTTCATGTCTGTAAATTTTTTTTTTTTAAGATTTTATTGGGTAACTAGGGAAGGGGAACAGTGTTGGGGAGTTGCAGAAGGGGAACAGCCAAGTTGTTGTCCTTCAATGCTAGTTGTGGAGGGCGCAGCTAGCTCAGCTCCAAGTCCAGTTGTCATCCGGCTGCCCATCGGCAGCTCAGGTGCAGCTAGCTCAGTTCGGGCGCAGCTCACTGGCCCATCTGGAAATCGAACCGGCGACCCTGTTACTCAGAACTCGAGCTCTTAAACAACTGAGCCACTTGGCCCCTCTTTGTAAATTTTTGAATTGGTAATATGAGCTAAAAATTTCACCTGTTCCCCTGCCCCCCTAGTTCCCCTCCTTGAGGGTAACCGCTGTGACTGGTGTCTTGTGCCATCTCCCAGAGATGGCCTGTGAGCCCTCAGGCAAATGTGTGTGTATTTATACAGCCCTTATAAATACACCCAGAAATGCAGGCAAACAATGCAAACTGGTCTACGTTGTGCTTTTTTCAACTTAACACGTTGAAGACAGTTTCACATTAGTACATACAAGACTACTCCATTTTAATTTTTTAATAGGCATAAAGGGATCCATTTTAATTCCCTTTTTCATTATTTTGCTTTTCAACACTATGAAGTATAATATATATTCAGAAGAGTACACTTACCTTCTCTCTTCTTTTTATTGGTTGCACTGTCTGGGGATCAAGCAGCCTTAATTTTTTGTTTGTTTGTTTAATTTCAGCTTTATTGAGGTATCATTGACATACAAAAGTGTAAGGTATTTAAAGTGCACATTGTGGTGATTCGATATACGTATACACATTCTGAAAGATTGCTCTTGTTGAGTTCATTAACACACCCATCACCTCACATATTTATCTGTGTGTGTGTGTGTGTGTGTGTGTGTGTGTGTGAACATTTAAATTTTACTCTCAGCAAATTTCAATTATATCATACGGTATTATCAGCCATTGTCATCATGCTTCACATTAGAATCTCAGATATTATCTATCTTACTGCTGAAAGTTTGTACCATTTTACCACCCTATCCCTGTTTCCCCCACCTCAGCCCCTGGCAACCACTTTCCTGTTCTCTGTTTCTATGAGTTTCACTTTCTTTTTTAGATTCCATGTACAAGTGATACTATGCACTATTTGTCTTTCTCTGTGGCTTATTTCACTTAGCATAATGCCCTCAAGGTCCACCCATATTTTCACAAATGACAGGATTGCCTTCTTTTTTAAGGCTGAATAATATTCCATTATTATATATTTTGTATATATGGGAAAATATACATATATATCATATCTTCTTTATCCATTCATCCATTAAGGGACACTTAGGTTGTTTCCATATCTTGTTTATTATGAACAACGCTACAGTGAACATGGGGGTGCAGATACCCTTTTTCATTGGTTTGCTTTTTTGAAGAAGTATAGTAAACATACAGAAGAGTGCACGCTACTCTCTCCCCTTTTTTATTGCACTGTTTGGGCATTGAGCAGGCCTAATTTTAAATTTAGTTTATTGTTGGAATAGAGCACATACGCACATGTTACAAAAGTTAAACAGTACAAAGGATTCATAGAGTGAAAGCAGCCTCTGTCCCATGCCCTGTCCCCTATCTATCTTTCAGTTCCTCTCCCAGGAAATTTACCAGTTTCTTCTTCCTGCAATATTCTGGATCTTTTGCGCACATCAGCAGAACATCAGCTCTACCGCAGACAGGGAATTTTGCATGTTTTGTTCCCTGATATGTCTCCAGCCTTTAGAACAGTGTCTGGCACATAGCAGATGCTTAACGTATTTGGTAAATAAACATATAAGTAGATTATGTATGCGTTTTCACAAATAGTTCCCTCCTCAAAGGCTGAATGAGGAAAAGGGGAAACTGAAAAACCCGATAGAGGATTGGCCCCAACTTGGAAGGCAGGGCGCAACCTGGGCCTGCGGGGCCACCACGGAGAGGGCAGGACAGCCATCGGCAATGGCAGGGTAGACTGTTGGGTGCGCCCAGTCTTCTAGGAGAGAGGGGGTAGCACCTGAATTCTGGGATCCTATCAAGGCAAAAACCAGTTCTGTCTTTGGGGCAGGGCGTGGCACATGGTTGGAACTTTAGTTTTTAAATGAACACACGGTGGACGCTTAGTGCCTGTTTGCTGCGTTGACACATAGTAGGTGCTTCATGGCTCCTTGTTGAGTAAATAAAGGGGATCCCGTGCTCCCCTCCAATTCCAGGGTCTCAGGGATGGGCCAAGACGGTGTCTATACTTGGAGACAGCTGTTTCAGGTTTAGGCCACCTGGTCAGGAGCGACGTAAAGTCACGGGGCTGCGTGATGTCATGCGCCAGCCGGTTCTCACGGAGGGGGCTGGGAGGGGCAGGGCGGGAGGTGGGGGGGGGGCGGACAAAGGGACCCGTGAACCTCCCCCGCCAGCCCCCGAGCGCGCCGGGGCAAGCAGGCCACATCTGGAATTCATTGCAGCAGCAGCCGGAAAGGGGAGAAGAGGAGGGCGGGGCGAGCGGGGGACCGAGGCGGCGCCTCTCCCCGCCCCCACTGCGTACCGGGTCCCCAGCCCCGGGACGCTGCCGAGTCCGGCGGGCAGCCCCAGCCCTAGCCGCGGCCGTCCCGGGGACGCAGACGCCAAAGCCCTTCCGGTCAGGGCAGACACCCGGGCCAGCCTAGCCAGGTGAGCGTGTGTGGCGAGGGGGAGGCAGAAAGGGCGGGCCAGGTCCTCTGAGGTCCGGGTATCGGAGCTGGGGGGGCGCTGGCTGAGGGTCGGGGCACACAAGCCCCGGGCGCGCAAGCGCCGCCGTGCTCTCGCTGCACTGAGGGAGTGGTCACCGTGCTCCCTCTCCACGAGTCCAGGCTATCCTCACTTCCTCGGCCGCGAACCCCCAGACTGCGCTCCCCGCCTTCTCCATCGGCAGGAAGTTGGCGCCGAGGAGAAGGCGGAATCCGAGCGTTTTCGGCCGGAGACTGGGAGGCAGGACGGCGTGCCGGGGGACCCGGGTTTTGGGAGTGTGTATGGGGCGGGTAGGGCGCCCTTCCTAGCTGACTCCAGTTGGACGTGGGCAAAAGGTGCCGCGCGCCGCCGAGCCTACAAGCCAAGGGGCGGGGCCCCGGAGGAGGGCAGTCACCCACCATCTGCCTGTCAGGCTCTCTGCCTCAGTTTCCTCGAGTAGTTCATCTCCTTCAGCCCCCTCACGGGGGCGTGGCTTTGTCCTGGAAGGAAAGGGAACAAGACTGTGTGGCTCCAGCGCCTCTTCTTTACTCTGGGGACCCGGGATGGGGCGTGGGTGCAGGTGTGCGTGGCACGGACCCCAGTGGGTTCCGGGCTCAGCAGAGCGTTGGGACCTCGCCCCCTCCTCCGGCACGAGTTGACTCACCCGGGGATTTCCACCCCTTTCCCCCGACTTTGCCCTAGTCAGGTGCCCCTGAGTACCCCGCGTGGTGCGACGCGACTTGCCACTCGGGTTTGGCACTCGCGTTGCAGCTGTGACTGCATCCCCCAAGTCCTCTGGGAATATCCAGGCGGGGTCCTGGGCGGGACACAGAGGAATCCCCCCCAGCCCGGTTGGATATGTGGAGGTTCCTAGCTTGCGGCAGTCGCGCGAGAGAGGAGGCGCGCGGGCTCAACGGCCTGGAGTGTGGATACCGCGCATTCCACGGCCAGATAAGGAGACCGAGACTGTGGCCCGAGGGTGGGGGCGGGTCCAGTCTCCAGGACGCGTTGGGCTCCCCCTGGTAGGGGCGCCTGCCATCAGACCAAGGTCTCCAACCTCCTTTGTGTTGATTGGGCTGGGCCGAGTTTACAAGCTGCCACCTTCCAAGGCTCACCGAAGCCTCATTCATTCATGTATGCATTCATTCATTCATTCATTCATCCATCCATCCATCCATCTATTCATCCATACCATATGTTTTCTGAGCACCTTCTGTATACTAAGCATCACTCCAAAGGAGCTGAAAATGGAATTGGTTGCTGGCCTCCAACACTTACATTCTACTGTGGAAGCCAGACAGAAAACTAGAAATATTGTACAATGGTAATTTTCAAAATTTCCAAGTGCTGTGAAGATAACAAAGCAAGATGCTGTGATAGAAGGGGCATGGAGAAGGTGACTATGGTAGACTGGTGATCAGAGCAAGTGACCTTAAAACTGAAACTTGAGAGATGAGGAGGCAGTCATTCAAGGATTAGGGGGAAGGGCATGCCAGGTAGAGGAACAGCAGGGACAAAGGCTCTGAGGTGGGGGTATCCAATGTGATTGGAGTGGAGTGACCCTTGGGGAGAGCGGGAGGGAGCTAAGTGGGCAGGGCCAGGCCATTTGGGGCAGTGGGGAGTCATGGAAGAATTTGGAGCTGAAGAGTGACATACTGGAGCTTTAAATTAAAAAGCACCCTCCGTCCGTGTGCGGTCCCCCCGACCCCCACCCCCGCTGCTGTGTGGAGAATGTCAGTGTACAGGGAGTAGAGGGAGGCCTGAAGTGAAGCCAAAAGAAAGCGTAGGGGTCTGCTCTAGGGGAAGTGGCATGGGACCAATGAGTGACCAGTGGGAAACCTAGTCACAGGGCCTGCCTCAGTGGAGCTTGGGGGAAGGGCTCCTGGAAGCCACTGAGCTTCCTCCTGCCTTCCTCCCTCCTAATCTCCCCCTAAACAGTCTTGATCTATCTCTCTTCCCTTCCCTCCAAACCCTTCCACTTGTCCCCCTCGCTCATTTCAGGCCTGGCAATTCCCTGGTTCTGAGCTCAGTGACTTATGCTGAGCCTTTAGTGGGGAGTCAGGACTGCCTTGGTGAAGGTGGACAGGAGACAGGCCCTGTGTATAGCCAGGCCTGGGAGCCTGACACAGGGAGGGGAAGCAGGCAAGGCTGCATCTGTCCGGGGAGGGGGTGGGTGTGACTCTGCCAGCTCCCACCTCTAGGCCGGCTTCCTCTTTCTGGGAAGCACCAACCTGCTTTAAGCTCCCAATTTAGCAATGCCCTAGTGGGGAAGATCAGAGTATGGGCCTCAGTTTTCCCTTCTCTAAGTGGTAGAGCCACCTCTCCTTCTGAGGATGCTTTGATAGCCTCCTGGGGGCTGCAGAAAGTGAGGGTGCTGTGCCCCAGTCTTACCCCCCAGGGAAGAAGACAGACTTTTTGGTAAGACCCTGGGGTTTGAAGGCTGAATCCATTTCTTATTTCGCCAGGAAGCAGCCATAAATCTTTTTATTGGCTGCCAGACTGGAGAGGGTGGTGGCCCCTCGTTGGGGAGGAAGGGGGTGGCAGCCATGGCACATGCCCTAGGCTTCTTGCCCCACTAGCAAGGGTGCTTTCCAGGCCTGTGACGGTCCTTGATTTTCCATTTTAAATCCCAGGATGGGCCCAGTAGGCCAGGGCAGCTTGGGGTGTTTGGTCTGGTGTGAGGTCAGGCCTGGTTCAAATTCTCCCCTGGGACAGCCACACAGTCTTAAAATTCTTCAGAAGCCTAGACAGGACCAGATCGGTAGTACTAGCATTAGAGCGCCCCCAAATGGGCCAATCAGATGCCAAAATTGGAAAGCTCAGGCCAATAGGCGAATTGCTCAATGCTCTGGGATTGAAAATGAGCCAATCAGGGTGCAGACTGTTTCTGGCCAGAGGCCTTTCTGGTACAGCCAGGCCTGGGCCAAGCCAGCTCCTGGTGGCTGCAGCAGGCAGAGGGCATCAGGGCGCCCGAGGCCCCGTCTGTCCTGCAGGGGAACAAGGGGCCTCTGTGTGGTGATTTGGGCGGGGCAGCAGCCCTTGGGGATGCACACAAGCCTTTCTCTGTTCGTTAACTAGGACGGACGCCCCTTGGTCCAGGGGGAGCAGCTGCCTGTGTCAGGCTGGAGGACAGAGATGGCTGAACGACCCCGGAAGCCCCCCATCACTCCCGGGCTCACCAGGAACCGGCCTAACCAGCCTTTTCTGGAACGTGGCTCTTGGCACACACATGGTCCTTGCCAGGCGGGTTTCCAGGGACCTGGGGAGGGCTCTTCCTGTGGTCCCCCTCCCCCATTTAGCTTATTGCTGGAGCTTCCTCCCAGCTCCCCTCCTGAAAGGCAGACACTGCACTCCTGAGACCACCCCCTCCAAGCTGGAGGGAGGCCATGATGTAGGCCTCTCGTCCTCTCTGCCCACGCACCTCTTCCCGCCCCCTCCCCCTCCGGCTCAGTTTTCCTTGAGAGGGGGGTGAGTCAGGCTTTAATGAAAATAAATATTGTCCCCCCTCCCTGTGGGGCTGCACACCCCCTCACAGCTCACATGATTTCAGCGCAGCTGCCCCATCCTCCCAGCCAGGACCTCCTAGACCTCCCAGATGGGTCTCCTGTGACTCCCCCATTTCATAATCCCCTCCTAGCCTTCCCCACACCGGATGTGACTGGGGAACAAGGACTCCACCCTGTTTGTTCCAGGGGCCTCACATCTGGATTTCATCCTGGTTGGGGAGGGAGGTGCCAGTGCCCTACCCACTCTGCTGGGACCCTCTGTCCAAGGGCAGGCCTAGATGGTGCTGATGAGAACAGGCTGTTGGGAATCTTGCCTGGGTCAGTCAACATCCCCTCCCAAAAGACTGGGCACCTAGTCCCGAGCAGTGTGTGGCAGTAAGAGGGGAGGTAAGAATATTTACTGAGAGCTTGTTATGTGCTAAGGGTACCTCGTGTATCATTTAACAGGCATTCCCTATCACCCCTAGGAAGTGGGCTTTCTTCTCCCCATTGTGCAGATGAGGACATTAAGGCAGCATGTTAAGTGACTTGACCAAAGTCCCACCTTATGTCAGAGGTGGAGTGGGGTTGAATCCTGGATTGCCTTTAAGGTCTAGGCCCTTGAAGATGATGTGACCTCTGGGATGCTCGAACCTCAGGGCCTCCCTGGTATCTCCCCAAGACCTTATCTTGGGAGCACCCATGTCTTCAAGGCTTAGACCCAGCCTGAAATCTAGGGCGGTGGTTGGTAATGAGCTGGGGATGGTTCTATCAGCAGTGAGCATCTAGTTGACCCAGGTTGGCAGGCAGCTTGCGGCCCAAGGCTCCAGTGTATTCAAGAAGAGGCAAGCCCACCAGTTTCTGCCCACAGCTCACTCTCTGGGTAGGTGGGCAAGGCTTCTGTAGTCCACTTTGTGTCCTTCATGCCATTTCAGGGAGCTTCTGATAGACAGTGTAGTCTAGAGGTTATTGAGGCTTTGGAGTGGATCGCTTTGGCCCTGCCACTTACTAGCTTTGAGATTTTGGGAAAGTGAATTGACCTCTCTGGGTTTTCCATTTGTAAAGCAGGGATCATGATAATTCTGACTTCATGTGGCCACTCGGTGAGGAGTGATGAAACTGGGACTTGAAACACAGTTGTCCAAAGTCAGAGCCCAGGCAGCAGTCACAGCACTGACCTATCTGTCTGTCTGTCTGTCTGTCTTTTCTTCCTGCAGCTCTGACAGCCCCATGGCCCAGGCCGGCCACTGAGCCCCACCATGGGCAGCCTATACTCGGAGTACCTAAACCCCACCAAGGTTCAGGAGCACTATAATTATACCAAGGAGACGCTGGACACGCAGGAGACACCCTCCCGCCAGGTGGCCTCGGCCCTCATCATCATCCTATGCTGTGCCATCGTGGTGGAGAACCTGCTGGTGCTCATCGCAGTTGCCCGCAACAGCAAGTTCCACTCGGCCATGTACCTGTTCCTGGGCAATCTGGCTGCCTCAGACCTGCTGGCAGGTGTGGCCTTCATAGCCAATACCTTGCTCTCAGGCTCTGTCACATTAAGGCTGACACCTGTGCAGTGGTTTGCCCGTGAGGGCTCAGCCTTCATCACGCTCTCTGCCTCTGTCTTCAGCCTCCTAGCCATTGCCATTGAGCGGCATGTGGCCATTGCCAAGGTCAAGCTGTATGGCAGCGACAAGAGCTGCCGCATGCTGTTGCTCATCGCGGCCTCATGGCTCATCTCACTGACTCTTGGTGGCCTGCCCATCCTCGGCTGGAACTGCCTGGGCAACCTCGAGGCCTGCTCCACTGTTCTGCCCCTCTACGCCAAGCACTACGTGCTCTGTGTGGTAACCATCTTCTCTGTCATCCTACTGGCCATCGTAGCTCTGTACGTCCGCATTTACTGTGTGGTCCGCTCCAGCCAGGCTGATGTGGCTGGCCCGCAGACACTGGCCCTGCTGAAGACGGTCACCATTGTGCTAGGTGTCTTCATTGTCTGCTGGCTGCCTGCCTTTAGCATCCTCCTCCTGGACTATGCCTGTCCTGTGCACTCCTGCCCTATCCTCTATAAGGCCCATTACTTCTTTGCCTTCGCCACCCTCAATTCGCTGCTCAATCCTGTCATCTACACGTGGCGCAGCCGGGACCTGCGGCGGGAGGTACTGCGGCCACTGCAGTGTTGGCGGCGGGCAGCAGGGGTGCAAGGACGGCGAGGCGGGACCCCGGGCCACCGCCTCCTGCCCCTCCGCAGCTCTAGCTCACTGGAAAGGGGCACCCACATGCCCACGTCACCCACGATTCTGGAGGGCAACACAATGGTTTGAGGGACGAGTGGGCTGACAACCAGGCCACGGCAGAGGGCTCCGTGGAGAGGCGCCAGGTGACCTTGGACAGAGATGCAAGGCTCCTAAGCAAGAGGGCCCACTCCACAGACCTGGGTGATATTGAAAATATTTCACGTCTGGGATGGCTGGCTAAGGCACCGACCAGTCAGATGGCAGAGCTGCAGCAGGGTCCTGGAGGCCAGTGCAGTGTGACTTGTGTGACTCCTTTAGAACTGGATCATGGGGAGTCTGGGGGACCTGGAAAGGGCCTGGGTGACAGCAGGCAGGCACTCAAGAGGAGCTCAGGGCAGGAGCAATTTACAACCTGGTACCAAGGATTTCATTTCACAACTGTCCGACCGTCCACCCTGTGCCAAACTCCCCTCTCTGAATTTAACCTGCTTGTCACCTTTTCCTGGCAACCTCAGTCCACTTCCCTGGAACCACTGTCCTCAGGAGCTGGAAGCCTCCTCCCTGACCGTTTGAGCAGTTGTAGCTAATAGTTCTCTGGACCCAAATCCAGAGCTTCCCCAAATTTTATCAGCTGCCACTTTGGCTATTTCTTCCCTTTTCTCTTACTCCACAAGATACCAGAAACCACGGGGTGAATGGAGGGGTGGGGGTGGGGGGGTTGCGCTGAATGTCATTCTCAGACCTCATTGGCCAATTGCACTATTTGGGGTGCAGAGGAATCACCAAGGGCTAGAAAAACCAGTCTGGGGTGCTGAGGAGGGCTCTGGGTTTCTCTGGCACAGGGAAGAACTTGAGAAAGTTCTGGGGGAGCTGTTAGTCCAGGATGTTCCCACCCACCAAAAACAACCACCCCCAAGTTATACTCACCTCCAGCCCCAGCCAAGGTACCAGATATCCTAAGGCAGGGCAACCTTGAGCCCTCTGTGCCTCCTTTCAAGTTGAATTGAACGGAGCAGATGGTGGGGGTGCTGAGAACATTTGTAGGGGTCTTTTCCCTAACCTGCCCCAGAAGGACTTTGCTAAATCCTGTGGATATATGGAAGGGTCATTGCGGTACAAGTGTATATTTATGTGTGTCTGTGTGTGTCTGAGTGTGCACATGTGTGGTGCCTGTGACTCCCTGTTCTTACCACTTTTCCCCAGAATGGATGTTACCCTGTCTCCTCATGTCTATGTTGAAGCTGCCAAAGGGGGGGTCCAGTCCCCCACAGATCCCTTTGTAATCTCTGTCTCATCTCCCCACTTGAGAGCTGGGCTGCAGCTCACCTCGTGGAAAGAAACCTCACGCCTCAAAATGATTTCTTGTGAATGCAAAGGCTGGGGGGTGGTATCTGGGGGGCAAGTAGCCAGCTGGGGGCTTCTCTCCCCTCATTTGGCTCCCCAGATAACCCCCTCCCATCCTGAGACCAGGCCCATGCCAATAAACAGTTTAATTTCTCTTTCTGATATTTGTTTTCTTTTCAGGCTTATACTGGCAGTTCCCCCATTAGTGCCCCGTGACTGAAGGCAGATGGGACAAGGGAGGGTGGCTGCTGCCCAGGCAACTCATCCTTTGCCAGCCTTCCCATTCTATACTCCCTAGCTCTGCCCAGGCCAGGACCCAGTGGTTTCTGTGAAAACGGGGTCAATGCTGGCCTTTCCCCAGAGCAGTTGTCCAAGGCCTCCCTGCTTTCCTTCAAAGAGAGTGGGTGCGTGGTGGGGGCCTCCTTCCCCATCCCAAGTACATGTCTCTCCCTAGGAGCTCGAGAGATGATCTTGGGGAACATGGGTCCAGATGGCCCACCAAAGCTCAGTATTCCCCAGAGGAATGGCTGACCTTTATCAAGCACTTAACCAGGCATGAAGATGTGAATCCTCAGGGTGAGACTTACTATAAACTCCTTTTATGGAGATGTGGGTTCAGAGAATTTAAGTGAGCTGCTCAGGGTCACACAGCCCATTGGGGCAGTGCCTGTCTGGATTTGAACTCAGGTGGGCTGACTCAAGAACCTGCCAGCTTCACCATGGGGCCAGAGAAAGGATCCTCAACCCCTTCTTTGCCATGGAAGTGTGGATTGCCAGCCCCACCCAGAACCAGGAGAAGCCCAGATGGGATGAAGCTGGGGGTTGGGTCCCTAGCTCAGCTCTGGGGTAACACCCCACTCCTTTTCCCAGAGGCACAGTGCCCAGTGTCTCCTTTGAAGACCTGAAGCTTTGGGAACCCAGGGCCCCAAGCTGAAGCCTCATCCAGCAAGACCAGCACAAATACGAGGGCAGCCAATGTAAGAGGCGTGAGTGAGGCAGGCCGCAACCAGAGGCTGGGAAGCCTGCTCCCCCATTGGAATTCCCCTTCAGCATTTCAGAGACAACCTCTCTTTGGAAACCTGAGCCCTAGCTGAGATTGGGAGGAGGAAGAGGCACAGGCCAGGCCAGAGTCAATAAATTTCCCTCAAATACACTCGTGCTCCCTCTGATCTCCTTCAGGCCTCTGCTCAAAAGCCAGCTCCTCAGAGAAGCCTGTTCTGACCACCTTCTTCCCTCTCTGTCTAGCCCCTTGCCCGCTTATCACCTGGTAGTGTATTATATATCAGTTTTTCTGTCTCCCTCTCCCCCATTATAATATGAGCACCTTGAAGATAGCACTGCATCCATCTTATCCACACTGTGTGTCCAGCATCTTAAACAGCACTTGGCACGTTCCCACCACAGGACCTTTGCACCTGCTGTTTCCTCTGCCTGGAATGATCTTTTCCCAGACATCCTTGTGACTCCTTTCCTCCTTCAGGTCTATATTCAAATGTCACCCCCTGGGTGAGGCTCTGGCCACACCATGCACGCGTTTCTTATCCTATTCACCTCCTTTGCTACTCTAACATGCAACACATTTTGCTTCATCCCACTTATTTTCTATCTCCCCCTTTAGAATGCCAGTTCCACAACAGCAGGAGTTGGTATCTGTCTTCACTGCTTGGCCCCAGAACAGTGGCTAGTACACAGTAGGTGTTCAATAAATGTTTGTCAAATGAATGAAAGCAAAAGTAAATGATGGTCATTTCAGTGAATGTTAAATGCTGTGAAGAAAATAGAATAGGGGAAGCAACAGTTTTGAAATATTCTACTTCGTAGAATAGGCACTACTATCAGCACTCTGACAGTGAGGAAACTGAGGCACAAAGATCTCTGGCCAGGTCAAAAAGCATGTGAATGGAGAGGTTGGGATTTGAACCCAGGCAGTCCTTGATTGAAGATTGCAATCACGTCTGATCCTCCTCAATATACTGGTCTGAAGATCAACTCTGCTGATATCACTCAAATCTTGGAGCCTAGACCGGAAGGGACCAACCCGCAGGGATGCAAGATGACTTTCACCTCCTTTCCCCCTACTGGATGCTCTTGGATATTAGGAAGCATCAGAATCACCTTGAAGAACCTGTTAAAATCAGCATCTCCGCAGTGAGAGATGCTGATTGAGTAGGTCTGAAGTGGCTCCAGAGATGCACATTTTCCACCAAGCACTGCCAGGCATTGACTTGGTACCATATTCTGAGAAAGTTCTAGACTCCAGAATCTCAATAGAACATTCTGCACTGATGGAACTATGTTATATCTGCCCTGCCCACTTGTGGGCTATTTAGCACTTGAAATGTGGCTAGTGTGATGCAGGAACTAAATATTAACTTTAATTAATTTAAATGCAAATAGCCACGAGTGGCCATTAGCAACTCTACCTTGTGCATCTCTGGTTTCTGCAGCCTCAGGGCAGCTGAATTCTCTTGGCATTATGCTGCCAATACAACAAAAATTCCTAAGTCTCACCATCATTATTGTTACAATGGTGACATGGTAGCTTCCACATATCACTTCATTATTTTGGGATATTTCTTTTAATAATGATATCAGCTGCAAATGACAGCACAAAATATTAGTAACTTAAGAAAGAGAAATGGATTTCACATATAAAAGGGTCTTAGAGGAAATTGGTCCTGGGTAAGAAGGACAGAGGCCTACATACTAGCAGTCCACGCTCCTGTCTATCTGTCCATCCATCCATTCATCCATCCATCCACCTACCTAAATACTTTCTGTGTTTCCTAAGAACAAGGCATCCTCTTATATAACTTCAGTAAAATTATCAAAATCAGGAAATCTATAAACCTTCATCAGATTTCACCAATTGTTTCATTACTGACCTTCACAGCAGAAGTGGACCCATCATTGCACGAGCAGTCTTCATCCTCACATCCTGGCCAGTTTTCTCATTTGTCTACAAAGCCAACGTACTTTCCCCAAATTCGGACAGCCAACATCCACCACCTTTCCCTGAATGTCTTGTCCAAGAATAGTTAAATCTATCAAAAAAGGGAAATTAAATTGGGTGGATGTGATTCATTTTTAGTGGCAATTGTGGTAGTATAAGTGTTGAGTGCATTCTCTAAAGTAAAGAAAAAAAACAGATTTGAAACTGAAACGGACACTTGATAACTCAAGTAGACTTTGGGCAAGTCGCCTAACAAGTCTCAGCTGGTTTCATCATCTGTAAAACCGATGTGTTAATAATCCCAACCTGGAATGCAAAACGATACTACCACTTTGAAAAACAGTTTGGCATTTTCTTACAAAGGCAAACACAAACTTAACCATATGACCCAGAAATTTGACTCCAGGTATCTATCCAAGAGAAATGAACATGTATGTCCACAATAAAGACTTTATGCAAATACTCAGAGCAGCATTTTCTTTAATAGCCCCAAAGTGGAAACAACTCCAATGTCCATCAACTGGTGAGTGGATAAACAAGTGTGGTTCATCCATATAATGGAATAAGACTCAGTAATGAAAAGGAACATGATATGATACACACAATAACATGGATGAAACTTAATTACATGATATGTCCGTAAGAGGCAAATCTATAGAGACAGAAAGTAGATTATTGGTTGCCTGGGGCTGGAGGTAGGAATAGGGATTAACTATAAACAGGCATGAGGGCTTTAATTGGGGCGATGAAAATATTCCGATACTAGATTGTGGCGATAGTTGCACACCCTGGCAAATTTACTAAAAACTATTGATTTCTACACTTAAAAGGGGTTAAATTTTCGTGGTATGTAAATTTTACTTCAATAACCTTGTGAAAAAAGAATTAGGACCTCTCAAACTAGGTACATATTTAATGCTCTATTTTATCCCTATCCTCAGAGGTCTCACATTCTAGCAGGTGAAACAGTCTATACAAATAAATATATAATACAATGTTAGAAAGTTTCCATTATGGAAAACAGTATGGAGGTTCCTCAAAAGATTAAAAATAGAACTACCATATGATCCAGCAATCCCACTTCTGGGTGTATATCCAAAGGAAATGAAAACAGTGTCTTTAAGAGATATCTGCACCCCCACGTTCATTGCAGCATTATTCATAGTAGCCAAGATATGGAAATAACATGTGTCTGTTAATAGGTAAATGAATAAAGAAAATGTGCTACACACACACACACACACACACACACACACACACACACACACACACAATGGAATATTATTCAGCCGTAATGAAGGTAATCCTGCCATTTGCAACAATACGGGTGAACTTGGAGGACAACATGCTAAGTGAAATAAGCCAGACACAGAAAAGCAAATACTGTAGGATCTCATTTATATGTGGAATCTAAAAATATTGAACTCACGGAATCAGAGAGTAGAATGGTGGTTGCCAGGTGCTGGGGGCTGGGGGGATTCAGGAGATGATAGTCAAAGGGTACACACTTTCAGTTATAAGATGAATAAGTTCTGAGGATCTAATGTACGGCATGGTGATTATAGTTAATAATACTGTATTGTATAACTGGCATTTGCTAAGATAGTAGTGTTCTCACTACACACAGAAATTAGTAACTAAGTGAGGTGATGGATGTGTTAATTAGGGGGATTGTGGTAAACATTTCACGATGTATACATACATCAAATCATCATTTAGTACACCTTAAATATATAAAATTTTTATTTGTCCATTATACCTCAATGAAGCTGGGGGAAAATACTTCTTAAATTTTCACAAGTGGGAAGCTTGTGAGAAAATACAGCTTCCTGGGCCCTTCTACCCCCAGAGAATCTGATTCCAGGGCCCAGGACTCTGCATTTTTACTCTGCACCACTTCTGATGTGAACCATCCATGACTTACAGTATTTAAAATACTGGTTTGAGGCTGATTTAGGGCTGTAAGATATTGCCTAGAGGAAATAAAAGACAAGGTCATTGCTTTGTCATTTCCTTTTGGCTAAATCAGTCATTCTCATCCAGGGTGATTCCACACTCCCAAGCGGGACATTTGGCAGTATCTGGAGACTTTTGGTTGTCTCACCTGAGGGTGGGGTTGCTACTGTCCTCTAGTGTATAGAGGTCAGGGATGTTGCTAACCTCTGCAGTGCAGTCAGCACAGTCTCCCCTGACAAAGGATTATTGGCCT